AAAAAGTTTACAGATAACTGAGTTGTCTACGGCTTTTCTACGCATTTATTTACTTGGGAATTCGAATTGTACAGAATGGCTCCCCGGCGGAATCCACTCAAAATAAAAGTGTCGAACAGATTTTGTATCAGTGCTTGTGACGGCTTCTTTTCCGATAGCCAGACAACTGGAAAGCTTTCCGTATAACCCAATACTATTCTAAAAAAAAAAACCATAGTCCCAAATTAAAGGCCATTGCTTTCTCTGATCCAAGAACAAACTTTGCTTTAGTACTAGTCAGAAGAAAATAATGTATTTCGATGTAGAAAATGACAACAAAAGTTAAGATTTCAAAAAAAGTTATAACTTAGAAGATAGTTCAAATCACTGTGAAGTTTAACCTGCTGGCTTCTCAAATGTTTGTGAAGGTTGTCATCTGCAGATTCCAAAGACTTCGTAGTCCGTCACATTAAAATTTGTAGCTCCCGTGAAGAATGTGCGCTGCTGTCCGGTGGGAAGCTGATACGAGTAGCCGAGATGGCTTTTACTTGAACCACTTGTGTTTGCGTCATTTGAAATATATAAGTCAAACCCTCCTCCAAATGTTGGCCCATAGCTGCTACCACAGTAAATGGCATTGTGCTGATTTTTTACAAGAGGCATTTTACTCGCAGCCATTCCTTGCGGATTCACCATGCTGAATAGGAATGACTGTGAGCAGCGCACGTAGCAACCCTGACCTGTTTCAGAAAAGAAAACCCAAAACTAATATTGATGCAAATTTTGGAATAATGTTCAACTTCCATTTTATTTCTAACCAGCTTTACATCATATCCGAAAAAAAAATGGCCATGATCTCGACTACTGCCCTCCTCCCTTCCCCATCCCTTCTACACACCTACAATGTGCTGAGGTTAAGGCCGACATCGGTTTAAGCAGCTTCTATGAAGAAAAACCCTTTTGAAACCTTGTTTAACAAAACTACTTTAAAAACACGTTGAAGCTCTGGTGTGAATGGGGTAATAGTTTTCCTTGCTACTGGTTTTTAATCTTTCTGTCGTCGGTCAGAAAACAGAGAATGTTTAGACGATCTTAGACAGTGCATCATACTATACAAGCAGTAAATTCATGACACTAAGGGGCAATTTGATATCCCAGTTGTGTTAATGCACCAGTCTCACTGGGTAACATGACCCTTTTAACATTATTCCTCTAAGGAAATTATGTGGTTAGATATTTTTTTAGATATTGAAACTGATGTGCTTTTGAAAGAGTCCAATCTTGGACAGGGGCCTGGGGAGAGGGGCTCTAGCAGCCCTAATACTTATGCTAACCACGTCTAGCCTCTCTTGTTAAAAAGACACCTCTTCTTTTTAAAACTAATTTGTTGTAACTTGTTTTCTATTACTTAAGCTAAAACATAGAAACAAAGTGTTAAAAAAGACAAAGCCTACCTTTTAAAATCGTCTTAAACGAATTATTGTTTATGTTCATTTCTTGTTTATAATTTGCAATGCTCGACTATCAATATTTGAAAAGGTTTGAAAGTCTATTAATATTTCATTATGATTTCCTCAACTTAAAATCTTCTGCAAAGATCCTAAGCCAGCTTTTTATTTTCCTTTTCACTTCTCGTTGTTTCTTTCCACTCTAAATTCAATCCCGCTAAATGTGACCAAAAATACCTTAAAGTAACTGTCACAACTAATTAATGCACTTACTGCTCCACGATGTTTCAGTGAATCCACCGAAAATGTTGTTTCCACTCTTCACGATGGTGACAGTGGGCCCTTTGTCGTCACATTTGGAATGGAAGGTTTTAGCTTGAAAGCCGTCTTGAGAAGCTCGCATCAGAAGTTGCCATTTACCGTCTTGTTGAGGCAACCAACCGCTCAGCACGCTTCGATGTTCTTCAGTCGTCAGAATTACTGATTCTTCGAAATTCTGCGGAGCTTTAGACACCAACTCGTCCAGTATGCCTTGGATCTGGTAGAACGCAGCCTCCTCCGCAAGTTCGTCTAGAAATGTTGCTCCTTTTGGCAAAGTCAATTTCCCAGTGCGAAGATAATTGAGTACAAACCGAAAGTGTGTTCCATCTCGGTCGATAAAGAAAGCGCCGTCTTCAGAAGGTTTCATCTCAAACTTCCCTGAAAACATTGCAGCCAGCATCGAATTTGGATCCTTGGTAAGCGTTTGAAGACTTGTTGTAAAGCGATGACCGCCAACATTTAGTTGTATAGTAGAAGAAAAGTGAACATGTTCCAACTTCTTCGACATGGAGTCTATTGTTTGCTGCTCTTGGCGAAGTCTTGCTGCTTCTCGTTGTAACATATCACTAGCTTGTTTGATATAATTTTCAGCGTCTGTAAAGACTTGATTGCGTTGTTCATCACCATTTCTACTCATGGTTCTTGTTTCTGTAGGCGGAATATCAAAAGGAGAAGTGTTCCTCTTGTTAACTAAGCTTTCTGGACGATACAACGTAGTCACATGTCTATAAGGATCAATTTGACTTGCAGATTTCCAAAAAAGGAAATTTCTTATTGTTGCGTGACATCCTCTTTGCTCGTTCCAGTTCTAAATTTAAG